ATATACCAAAGATGTCTGTAGGTTAGACCTAAAAAAAGGATACTCTGTTCAACAAGGATTGTCAAAACAAGTCTTATATCACACAAACATAAGCATTGCTCATTTGGAAATAATGGCATTGCTGTTGTTAAGATCCTTCTTATTAAGGCCAAAGAAAACTGATTTTATCAGTGCTTTTTTTAAAGCTTGATCTCAAGTCATACAGGTAGATCCATGGCTCTTTGAGCAGCTCATCTCACACCCATCCCAAGCACAAACTGGAAGACAGAGGATAAAGTCCACAGAACTAACATAAGAACTGTTGCCTAATGAAGTAATTCACATTGCTATTATCACTTTCATATGTTTACTTCTAAAAATATAAAATAAATTGCATTTTCAAGTTCCCTACTAATCCCCTTGAGGGACAGATATCTCCTCAGGTAGTACAGCTAAATCTGTCACTGTGAACAGACTCTCTCAAACTTACAGTTAGGAAATGCCTTTTCATTCTTTGTTTCCATTGGAATTTCATGGACAAAAGCTTTTGTATAACTAGGGGTGAAAAGAAGGAAAAAAATCACCAAATATCATAAATTAATGGCATTCTATAGCAATGCCACAGACTGTGGATTCTTTCTTTCTTTGAAACTATTCAAAACACCTCAGCTGTTGTAGTAATTATAAAATTGAGCCTATCATACAGTCTAAGCCCTTCTTTTGCTCTGACTTTTCTATGCAAGTCTTCGCCTTTTGCAAAATCAAATTTTTCCTGCACATCCTATCACAAAAACTCCACATGAAGATTCCAGAAGTTCCATAATGATGAAGGTTCCCATACATTTTAATGCTTCAGATGGAAAGCACAGTCCTTGGAACACGACCCTCATCTTCTTCAGCTCTGAGGTAACAATATGTATTTTTTCCGATAGACTTACAGTACTCCAAAGATACAGGTCTAAATTCTTTCCCTCAGAAGTCCCAGTGCTTTTGGATGAAAAGAGATTAAGACAGCTTACAGACTTATGAGGATGTCATAAGAAATGAATCAACAAACACAGAGTTCAACCAGTCTGTTATCAGTTCCAGTTCTATGGGAATCTGGTCTCTGTCACTATCTCTATTGTTTGTGTGAGCACATGTATCCCATGGCATTTTTCCTATTAAGGGTTCTACCTTCTCTGCTTACCCTCCTGCTCCCTCTCTGGATGGGCTGCATGCCTTTCTGTTTCTCTCTTCCACAGGGGTTGCAAACATTGGTCCTGCAAACTGTCATAACCAGATTCGTCCTTCTTAGAGAATCATGTCAGAGTCATAGAAGGGCTTGGATCCTTCCTCGTAGGATCCTTTTGGCATCCTCATGTGGGGATGTATGCTCATCCTCATGGGGTGAGCATACAGCAGCAGAAGCTCCAGAGAATGCACAGCTGGAGAGCTATGCCAATCATAAAGTTTGTGACATTAATGAAATGCAGCCTGAGACTTCCGTATGTAAGCACTGCTGCATCTTTGGTGTGCTCACATCTGCCCATACACTCTTTGCATCATCTTGGAATGAGCATAAAGTGAGGCCCCACCTCGAGTACTGTACTCAGTTTGGGCACCTCAATACAGAAAGGACATGGAGGTGCTGGAGCAGGTCCAAAGAAGGGCAACAAGGCTGATGCAGGACTTGCAGAATGTGCCCTATGAGGAGAGATTGAAGGAACTGGGGCTGTTTTGTCTGGGGAAAAGGAGGCTGAGAGGAGACCTTATTGCTCTCTTCCAATATCTGAAAGGTGCTTACAGCAAAGCAGGGTTGGTCTCTTCTCACTGGTGACAGGTGACAGGACGAGGGCAAATGGCCTCAAGTTGAACCAGGGTAAGTTTAGGTTGGATATCAGCAAAAACTTCTTTACAGAAAGGGTTCTTAAGCACTGGAATAGGCTCCCCAGGGAGGTGGCCGAGTCACCATCCTTGGATGTGTTTAAAAACCATTTGGATGTGGTGCTCAGCAACATGATTTAGTGGAGGGCTGTTAGTTAGGGTAGTATGGTTAGATTGTGGTTGGACTCAATGATCTTAAAGGTCTTTTCCTACCTGAGCAATTCTATGATTCTATGATGAAACCTTACCAGGTTCTGCTCCACGCTCCATCCCCAGGACAAAGCAGCTGACAGAAATAACTCATTAACAAGGCAACATACTGACTCCCGAAAGTGAATTCTCCCTCTGGGTTTGATTCCCTCCCAGGGATGCTGCAACATTTCAGTCAAACCAGAAGCAATACAACTGTCAAGAAAATTCTTCAGGAACGTTAATGATCTAAATTTCAATGGCTATTAGTATTATGTACACAAATTTGTAAGTACTTTTGGCAGGACAATTTTCTAAACTCTCAACAGTAAATTTATAAACCATATCCAAAAGTCAAATATCCAGCATCACCTCATCTTTCAATTCCTTCAAGGGTAATTAAAGCAAGACTCAAAAATTCTGTAAGCTTTATGACTTGAGTCCTAGGAAGAGGAAAAGATTGGAAACATCAGAAAAGACATTTACCCTAAACAAGGAATATTATAAATCCACCTGTTGATGACAACTGGATTATAATGAGTAACCTTTCATGCATTCTGTTTTGTCTGCATAGAAAAAATGTTTCTCCATTAAACTGTTGAATATACTGTAATTTTTAAAAAGAATTTAAAACAAATAAGTATCTGCACAAATATTTCCTTCTAGTATTCAACATTTTCACTCCCTCCTAAATATTAAAGGGGTCTATAATCTAAATATTGTTAGGAAAACCCAACAGCAATTCTGCACATTCAGACTGTTGCCTGCATAGTTTGCAATTGCCAATAAACAATTTGCTCAGCTTCCATTTCAGCTGCCAACTTCACACTTCTCAAACAGAATGCAGTCAACTTTAGCTCACATTCAGCTTTTGTTCTGGCTTCCTTTCTAGTTATGCACTGTGCAAATATTTAGCAATTTCTTGGAAGAGCTAAAGAAAATATGATATGACTCTTGATAATTATATTTCCTCTGGAAAAAAAAAAAAAATCATTCAATTAATATCCCTCCTCATTTTCTAACTAATAAATTACAATTCCACAGTGAAACGTAGTGAAGAGATCTTCTGTGAGTCACAACAATTTTTGCTCTGCATAGAGCCTGACAAGAGTATAAGAAAGAAATGAGGCCTTTTTATTTTTCCCATTCTATCATGAACTGATTTGCAATCAAGTCCCAGGAATGCCCAGGTTACGGTGTCACAGGACACTCGCAGTTCACCATCACCACACAGAAGTGTTTTCACCCACTTCCTTCCTTCCTGATCGTGGCTACAACCTCGCACTGCTTATCTGCCTGTTGGTCTCCAACCCTTGAGGCTAATTAATTGAAAAAGATCAGAGGAAGTATCTGAGGAAGAAACATAAACATTTTCTACCACATCGTTTCTATGAGGTACAATGTGTAAGATACACAAATTGTTGGTACTGCTCACAACAGAGATCATTGTGGCTGTAAATGTTCCAGTACTGTGTTTAATATTATTAGTAACACTTCTATAAGAATCATTTGAGTTTTTCCATACTTCACACCATCCTTCAGGTATCTACAAGGGTGGAGATTTCACACATTCTCTGGCCAACTTGTTCATTTAAACACGGAAAATTAAGTATCCTTCACTGAAAAATCTAAACAGAGAGAATATAGAAGCATTACACATATTCTATAATAACCACTCCTGAAAGCTGTACTACATTCTGTATGAAAGAATGAAGAGCAGAACAAAAAACGTGCAAAGGATCCATATTCAGAAAAGCAAAAACTGAACAGTGTCAGGACAGGAAATCACAGAACCATAGAATTCACAGATTCATAGAATGGCCTGGGTTGAAAAGGACCACAATGATTGTCTTATTTCAACCCCCCTGCTATGTGCAGGGTCGCCAACCACCAGACCAGGCTTCCCAGAGCCACATCCAGCCTGGCCTTGAATGCCTCCAGGGATGGGGCATCCACAGCCTCCTTGGGCAAACCACAGGTACTTCTTCAGACAGCGATGCAAAAATACATTACTTTCTTTCAAAAGAGAAATTAAGACAATTTCATCAGCACAAGGCATATTGTATAGCACAGCTGGGCTTCCAAAGGTAAGTTTTGCTCTGATTCCAAATTGAATGCTGTGTCTGCTACACAATATATAAATTTACCTAAAAAATTGATGAAAATCAGATTGCCATGGGAAAAAAAAAAGTTTCTACATTAAAATCTTTTATACTGCAGCATCCAGCAGTGGAGATGTCCAGATCAGTTCTCATTTCCAGAGTGCCATGACTGACTGGAGTAAATTTTTTAAAATCAAATTCAACGTAAGAATAAATTGCATCCACTAATACTGAACATATTTAATGTTCAGTAAAATGTTATCATATACAACACAGAGAAGGAAGAAAAAAAAAGAAGGAATAATGCCAACACAGAAGTATGCATGAACAACAACTCACCCCTTCTTTCAAGAGACTATTAATATAATATACACATTTTATATCACACGTATAACTACACACATAATACCTGGTTACTCATTTCTTGAGAGAAACAAAGAAAGCATAAAGTGAGCTCTTTACAGCCACCCCATAACAAAGCTCAATTTTTTGTGAATTTCTCTGGATTCTACAGTTTATTTATTTCTAATACAGAAAATCCAGTGAAACATCACTTGGGCAAAAGAATGTGCTTGATAGGTCCTTGTACCATAATGCGAAATGATGACTGAAGCAGAGAGAAAAAAAAGAGATTTGGGAAGAATATTTAATCTCCCACTGGGCAGGATTTAAATTCTCTACTGTTCTTCAGAAAAAGTGTAACATAGAAATGCAAGCTGTATATCGCCCGGCCCTCTTCACTTACCTGAAGGCAATGCAATTCCTCCCACGAATTCATAAAGCACTACATTACTATCTTATGCCATATGTGCAAAGAGAAAAACTACAAAGAAATAAAAGAAAAAAATATATATATGGCCTTACTTCTCCATGTCTTAATGGTGTGATTGCTCCTCTTGCTACTGCCATTCGGAACAACGTTTCAGTGGCCTGCATCGACAAACACACAGAGATCGGTTATTTTTAAGAAAGGTCATTCAGCTCATGAAGATTTATTTCAACTTATATCATGAACGCTTCATATTTTATTGAATTTTTTAAAGTGTCAGCTACTTTCACCATCCATTTTACAATTTAATTTTACAAAATCATGAAACCATTATGGCTGGTTAATATGGCCTTAAAAAAGGCCATCCTCTTCTTAGTCTGCTGGACAAGGAACACAGATTTCTGACAACCACAGACAACTGACTCGTAATTCAAGCTGTAACAGAAACAAAACCCATAGGCTCTGCATCAAATTTCTTTCTGGTAAAAAGTAGAACCAAACAACACAACTGAAACAAGCAGGGAAAGCTTCTCTAAATGACCTGCATTTCTGTTGATTTCCTAACTTTGAGTTTAAACACAGGTATGCCAAATTGCCATGTTGTTGCATTTACAAGACGGTCGGAAAAAGTAGTGAAAAAATTCACTGGTTACATAAAAACATGGATTGGCACATCAGTATATGCAAGAATAGATTTGTTTCAAAGACCTGCTTCCAAAGTAAGTAAGAAGTGAGTCTCAACTTTAGCTGCAATCATACATGTTTTTAATATCTGTTCCTAATTTAACAAATTACTCAAACATTCAGAACTCTATGTTACAATGTAATTATCAGGCTGCTTGAAAAGGGGTTTAGAAAGTTTAAGTAGTTTGTAGTGTCTGTCTTCCAGAATGGCAATTTAAGAAGTAAGCAGCTCAGTGCTTACATGACTGCAAAATCTGTGGGGTTCATGCTGCAGTACTTCAAGACAGCTGTAGCTCAGCAAATTTAGTACCAAAGACATCTACTGACATTAATTCTTCAGTATTTCTAGATGTGGACTAGATGATATTTACGTTTTCCTAAATAACTGCCTGCAGAAAAGAATCCTATAAAAGAGTTTTTATTTGCCTTGTTTCCCACCAGTGTCTGTAGATGAATGTGTGAACTTCAGAACCCAACTGCAGAATGCATTTCTTCCTTGACACCGCCATAACACAGGACAGTGCCTGAGTGCAGCTCTGCTTCCCAAGCCTTCATCCTTCCAGAGGTAAAGTAAACCTCAAGCCACCTTTTGTCCTTCCCCAAATTGGTTTCTCTCATCAGCTCTTCCCACCAACATTTTCAAGGATGTTTCAAGTGAATTGAGTATTCTGTCAATACTGCTGAGCTTCTTTTGTTTCTTTTGAAAACCACTGGTGTGTGTGACTTTCTTTACACATTCCCTAGTAAAAGATCTCTCTTAATACGCTTGTACATGCACAGTTAATACCAGATGTCAAAACCATTCAGAAACAAGAAAAATTCACAGCAACAGCAAATCTAGCATGAGAGAGATCTCCCCCTATGGGCACTGCTCCTTGCGCTGAACCCCACTGAGCAGATTAGGACTGCAGTGACGGTTGTCTACCCCAAGAGCATGAGGGGATGAGGCCACCCATAGCTGTTGATGCCTGGACAATAACAAAGCTGGAGACAGAGATCTTTGGGTTTTAGGTATGCAGATTCCAAGAGAAATTTTAAAGGAGTTGAAACTTTCAAAGGGATGATGATTAGAATCATAGAAGCATTGAATGGCTTGAGTCAGGAGGGACCTCAAAGATCATGACCTCATTGCAGCCTTTCAGTACCTAAAGGGAGCCTACAAACAGGAGGGGAATCAACTCTTTGAAAGAGCAGATAATGGCAGGACGAGGGGAAATGGTTTTAAGTTGAAGGAAGGAAGATTTAGGTTAGATATCAGGGGGAAGTTCTTTACCAAGAGAGTGGTGAAGTATTGGAACAGGCTGCCCAGAGAGGTTGTGGATGCCCTGTCCCTGGAGGTGTTCAAGGCCAGATTGGATGGGGCCCTGGGCAGCCTGGTCTAGTGTCACACATGGAGGTTCAGGGGTCTGCTCGTGGCAGTAGGATTGGAGTTTGATGGCCCTTGAGATCCCTTCCAAACCAAGCCATTCTATAATTCTATGATCATCTACTTACAAACCCCTGCCACAGGCAGAGTTGCCAGCCACTAGCCATAGACCCAAATGTAACATCACACAAACTCATATTGATAAGACTAGCAAAAAATTTTCAGTCTTAAACCATCATCTTATCCATAACATTTCCATTTTGAACCAACTCCCTCACTCCCTTCAATTTCCAGCTCCGTTCTCTCTGACCTCCAAATACAGGCAAGAACAAAACCCATGGAATGTTCTAGCCTGGCAGTGATCACCAGGGCCACCTGATTCCTCCAGGGCTGCCCATGCACTGACCACCTCTTAGGATGGAGGTCCTGCAGCAACCTCTGAACGTGGAGGAATAAGCAAGGGGATATAAAAGGAAAAAGATTTGGACAAGAGCTCAGAGCAAGTGATGGGAAATCACAGAATCACTGGGGTTGGAAGGGATCTCTGGAGATCACCAAGTCCAAACCCTGCTAAAGCAGGTTCCCTACAATAGGTTGCACAGGAAAGCATCCAGGCAGGTTTTGAATATCTCCAGAGAAGGAGACTCCACAACCTCTCTGGGCAGCATGCTCCGGTGCTCTGTCAGCCTCACAGCAAAGAAGTTCTTTCACATGTTTACTTGAACTTCCTGTGTTGCAGTTAAACTTCCTGTACTGCAGTTAACTTCTTGTGTTCCAGCTGACAGTAAAAGGATCTTTACAAGACATTATATCATTATTGGCTACAAATCCAGTTTATGGAATACATCTTGTCTGGTATACTCTTAAGTTTTTTATTTCAAATCTACCAAAGCTTTTAGTATGACAACAGCCAACATTCCATACTGCATGGAGTTCTGATACAACTTGTTTCAATTTTGAAGTTCAAACCCACTCAATACAAACTTTAAATAAATAGGTTTTCCATTTCCATATATTGTATGCTTTTCTTTTATATATTTAAGATTAACTCTGAAAATAAGCAGAGTCCTACTCTTTCAATACAGGCTCTCAAACAAAATAGTTTCTTGGATTACTTCAGTAGTAGATTTCTACCAGAAAAATTCAGCATACTTTTAGGCATCAAGTCAAAACTGCCCTTCTGTTCCCACAGAACAGTTCTCAGGGCTCTTACGGTTCAGGACGTGTGACTGCAACTATGAGATACAACTGACTGGAGATATTTATCGTCATGCCAGGATAACTAATGAAAAAGACAAAACTGTCCAGTTAAGAAACAACAATATTGTTCCCAAAGAGACAGTTGACTCGGAATTTAGATCACTTTCAACTGCCTGCATCTCTGTTAGCATTAAGTTTTTCATTATAATCAAATTCTTATGAAGCTGCAAAAGCTTAAGGTTTATTTTCATTCAGTTTGCTGGGAATGAGCTCTAAATAAGAATCATTACGGGCTGAGGCAGTGACTTTACATACTGCTATTCAGAGGTACAAATCACAGGTCTGTAAGAAAAAAAATCATCAACAGATGGTTTTAGTGATCTCAGAGTGAAATAAATGTGCTCCCAAACTGATAGCATCTGAATCCTAAAACTGTGCTGTAAGGAATGCATAGTGTGTCATAGAGTATGTGAGGTGAAATAGCAGACCAATGAATGTATCTGACAAATCTGTTACGTACTGTAAGATCTAATGTCATCTGTTGACGAAGATGACCGCATGTCCTCCCTCAAAGAAAGCAGGAACTTCTGATGAAGTTTTTTGCAAGTGAGTAACAGAAAAACCACATGTAAGAAACAGAACTGAACTGGAAAATAATTGCGCATTATTGATGGAAACAGTGGGAGAAACAAGGAGAAAAACAGCACTTCAGATTCCAGATGCTTGAATTTCCTAGGTTTTCAAAAAAATAAAATGGTCTCATAATGCTCCATCAAAATAGTTCCTGTTTTACCAAAATTAAAATGGCAAATACAAGCAGTGGAGGAACTGCTAATGTAAATTAATTTTAGAACTACACACTTTTTAATCACTTGGCATTCCAAAGTCCCAGTCTACTTGCATTCCAAAAAAAGAAAAAGAAAGAAGAAATAAAAGGAAAAATGAGTTATGGCTAAAGATATGTCCTGAAAGGCACAGATCTTTGGAAGTCATTAGAAGCAATTTATGGATTTAATTGGAAAGAAAATGGTGCAATTTGTTATAAGAATGGATGGAATGGCACAAAACATTTTTTTCCCTATTAAGTTTGCTGATCTTGGCTTCAGCAGCTGGCTGACAGCTCTGGCCTTTAACACTGGTGTTTGTTCTCAAAAAGCAAGTGATATTAAAGAAAGGTTCATGACAGTCCATCCAAATCATCAATAACATTTTTCAACTTGACCATATATCACAAATGAACTGTTGTCACAGCCCTTGTCAGCAAACCATCACACAGCTTTTGAAAACAAGCACAAGTGTTACAAATAGAGGATTTGATAAGATGCAGAAGCAATAATGAACAGAAAAGCAAACAAGAAGTTTCTCAAATCAGAATCTTTTCCTAATTATGACCAAAAAATGTTAAGTGTGAGACAATCCACTAGATCTAGATGTTCCTCCAGATGACAGGTTTGTATTTAACTTAGCCAATGAGCTTATTTATTGCTGTGCCATTCAGTGAAATTACTTGAAGGGAGCTTATAATCTTATAAGCTTATATTCTACCACAGTACCAGCAATGTCCTTTCCTCTCAGTCATGAGCTGATCAAATCACTGCTTAGCTTTATCTGCCATACAGGTGACTTAAGTGCAAACACAATAAAGTAAACTAAACAATTTAATTCCTACAATAAAACACATTTTACATTTATCCTGACAGCCTTCCATCTGTTTTCAGAAACTTCTCTATTTTTTTAATTGTCAGCTTTTACCATGTGCACACACTCAGTGCAGCATTCTTTCTCAATACCTACCGTACCTTCCTTCCCCTTCCATGACATTTGTGCAACTTTCAAAGATGGATAATACAATTCTATAATATAATCCTATGCCCATCTCAAATGAAAACACAGATGTAGAAAGGGACAGAA